CCCCGATAAAAGCCAAATTAAAACCAAATATTACAAGCTGTGTTTCGAATTAAATACTTTTAAAATTATCCCTGCCTAAAATCCTCCCTAGGTCAGGCCCGCTTGCTGAAAAAGCCATGTCTTGAGGGCGCGGCGGAAAGTAAGGAGATCCGGAATCATCCGGATCTCGGGGGGTAGTTCATTCCAGAGGGTGGGGGCATAATATTGGTTGCTGTGATTCTTTATTGAGTTCTATTTTAGTCCTGTTGGCTTTGTTGCATACTGTTCACTTGGTTGGAAACAGTTGGTAAATCAACTACACCAGGGGTTTCCAACCTGTGGGCCGTGCAAATGGCTGGCAAGTGCGCGCACATGTGCGCGCACCCCACTCGCGCTAGCAGTCCCATTTGTGCATGCGTGTTGTGATTCCTTGTCAACCAGTGGACCCGGCAGTTGAGTCTGGGGAATCAGAGGAGGAGGAGGGGCCTGGAGGGACATCAGAGTCAGAGGAAGGCTCTGAGGAGCTCCAAGACTTACAGTCGGACGAGGAGCCTGGCCCCTCTACTCATGCTCAGGCTGAGACACAGCTGTGCTGGGAGGCTGAGTTGGACAGTGATGAAGAACAGCTGGGACAAATCCCGGATGCATGAATGCGCAGGCAAGAGAAGTGAGTAGGACAGAGGAATGCAATGGGGCGGCTCCAAAGGCAAAGGAGAAGGCATTAGGAAGCCACGCCTTGGCTGCATAATAAAAGGGAAGGTGTGGGAGGTGCTGGTTGCTGAAGGCAACCGATTAATGTGTTAAGGAATCAAGTTTCAGTGAATTGCGTTTGGTTTGCCTTTGCCTTTGGACATTTTACTCAGGTCTGTAAATAATAAAAAGGGTTTGGATTTGTCCTCAAGCAGGCTGAGACAGAACAATGCGTGGGAGTGCTAGCGCCACCGCCATGCAGTCGCGAGTGGCCCATTTGCGCATGCATGCGCAGGCACCAGAACTGCCACAGTTGCTTGTGGTCCACTTGTGCATGTGTGCAGATGCTGGTGCTGCCACTGTGCGTGCACCTGTTTGCGCATGTATTGCGCGCACATTTTTCTGCTCCTCCCTTTTCCCTCCGGGCCAATCTGGAAAGGTTGGGGAACTCTGAACTACACTGAGTACAGCTAGTCCTTAACTTACAACTTACAACTGAGCCCAAAATTTATGTTGCTAAGTGAAACATTTGTTAAATGAGTTTTGCCCCCATTTTACAACCTGCCTTGCCACGGTTGCTAAGCGAATCTGGCTCCCCCATTGACTCTGATTCTCAGAAGGTCACAAAAGGGGACCCATCACCCAGATACACTGTAACTGTCATAAATACGAGTCAGCTGCCAAGCGTCTGAATTTTGATCACGTGGCCATGGGGATGGTGCAACCATCGTGTGAAAAATGGTCGTAAGTCCCTTTTTTTCCAGTGCCATTGCAGCTTTGAATAGTCACTTAGCAAACTGTTATAAGTTGAGAACTCTATATAATTTTCAGGGCTCTTCTGTGAGTGCACAAGAGTGCACCTTTCTGGAGCAATTCACAAATAGGCCCATCACTGGTTCTCATCCTACCTGACAGTTACAGGAGGAAATGCCGGTGCAATCTTCTGTAACATTTTAGCTGATATACTGCAAAGTCTCCTGAGGGATTGAGCCCATGAAAAGGATTTAATATGGAATGGAATAGAACAGAATAAAATGGAACAGAAACTGAATAGAGTAGAATAGAATAGAAAAGAAAATAGAATAGAATAGAAACAGAAACATCAGAGTTGGATAGGAGCATGGAGGTCATCTAGTCCACCCCCTGCTCAGGCAGGAAACCCTATACCAGGGGTGTCAAACTCAATTTCATTGAGGGCCGCATCAGCA